AAAAAAAAAAAAAAAAAAGGGTGTACAAGACCCTCACCTCTGAAGAACGCATTTAACTATTTCTTCTATATTTCCATTACACCTTTTTTTTTTCCCTTTCTACTTACCTCACCCTGATTCACACGGCCAGAGGTAGAGAACTGGGAAAACTTAGATTATAAACATGTAAGAAACTTTCATGTTTTTCTCTATCTAATGAGACAGAAAACTGAGAACGAAAAGTAACAATACAAGTTCAACCTACTTTCATACTAAGAGCAGCAGATGGTTGAGCATAAGGGATTAAGGATTCTAACTAGGAATCTTCATTTCAAAAAATTCAGGAAACACAAACTCACACACAAGGAAAAAGACACTGCAAAACTTGATTTCCATATAAATGGAGTTTCACAACAAAGTGAACACAAAACGAGGATCGTATACCTGAAATAGAATGCTGTTCAGATGTATTGCTAGTATGCTTTTTACCAATACTACTTCGTAGAAACTCATTAGCTGAAAAGCCATTCCTATTTTTCTTGCAATTGACGTGTCATTTTTACATGCATTAGAGTGTTTCTTTTGCAGGTTTGACCATGTTTCCTAATCAAGTTCCACACTTTTGAAGTAAATTTAATAAAGTATGATGAAAGGCAATAAAAACCGGGTGCAAAACATGCAACACTACTCATGTAATGACGGCACTAATACCACATGAGTCATTTAAGAGAAACACAAGCTGCTGGAGAGTCACATGACCGTGTAAGGCGCTACGCGATTAACAGAATCCTTGTTCTCAGTAATTATCACACGAGTCATGTGATGAGTTCACTTAGGTCACACGTGTCATGTAACCTCTGAAGGCGCGCGATCCGAATTTCTCCCAGGTGCCACATGACTCAGTGTCAGCTATGGGCTCTGATTCAAAACCAGATGAAAGTAGATGTGTTTGTTTCTAAAGTTCTCTATGGGCTCCGATTCAATATTCGTAAACACATGCAACATTTAATTGCTTCACTCTATTTTTTCGAACAAAAACAACCACCTGTCACCGAAGAGAATTGCAAACCAGTGAAAGTACATGTTTTTGTTTCTTTTCTGCTATTTATGCACATGTCAGAATTCAGAAGGACAATAAACGAAACGAATAACAATTCCCATTCAAGAAAACCAAACAATCTCTGTACCTGAATTCCTTGTGATCCATCCCATACGAGACGGGCTCCATCTGCCGCTTCGCCACGCTGCTTCCATACGGAGAAGTCTCGGTTCCCATTACTGAATACAAGGGCATGTTCTGGAAGTTTCGGGTGATGTTAGTGCTTCCAGACACGTGTGGCAGTGCAGTGGGGATGGAGTGAGGTGAGTTGTTTTGGGATTCCACAGGCTTTCTTGAACGGTTGCGGCCACGGTGCATATGCCGTTCGCAATACTTGGAGTCGGGATGCGCATCCTTCGAGCATCTCCACTTCTTCCCGTCTGTCCTCCGGCACCTTCCGGGCTCTGGGTCAAATTTTTTCCCATAGTAGGAGCAGTAGCCCACTGCAAGGAGAATAATAGCATCGAGTTTCATTTTCTTTGTGAAATTGTATTTCAAAACACGAAAAATGCATTCAAACACCAAAAGAGGACAATTCTCAGCTTCGATGAGTAAAGCCGCACTAACTTATGCTATTGGAAGCAAAAAGTAGGTTGACCATTTCTCTTTCTTTTGGTGTGATTTAGTGTTTGCAAAGACTTCTGAAGTCAAGACGAGCAGTTTAAACTTGGTTATCTGTCACATATATATCGACTTGAGGCAACCAATATATGCTTCATCTAGTTCTCATCAGAGCGCGGAAATCATTCTAAAGGATGACGGAATCTTTTATTCATATTACTCATGGCCATTTTTTCCTCATCAAAACAAGATTGTTTTAGAATAATCTCTAGATTTTTGTTTGGGTCCATCTACTATCTCATGACTGGCAAGAAAACAGAAGCTCCAGAACACAATAAAGCACAGAAAACTGTTGGAGTCCACAAGTCACTTTCTAATGAAAACATTTATTGAATATCTACCATTTTGATCCTTAACACCCACCCAGAATGACCAACAACCGTACACAGACCTTTCAGCATAAGATACTTTAGATCACTTCATTTATCCAGACATTCATACTGACCCAAACAAATGACAAAAAACAAGCAAGAGATTTACACGAAGGGTGGTGGAAAAGCCGGGCCGAGAGAGCCTCAAAACTATGGCGTATTGGCATGATGAGGTCAGGTGGCACGGGCAGACCAGCCACCAGATACTTGTATATCATGGCTTGATGCTCGAGCTCTTGTCGTTGGATAGATGTCAACGGGTAGTACCGAAAACCGCCGTATGCCACCTCATCACCTCCTTCTCCTATACCCAGCCCCACCGTCACGGATGTGGAAGCTGTGCCACTCATCATTCCCCTCTTTAATTAGTTATATTCCCTTGTAAATCGAAAACCCAGAATTAATTTCAGTATAATGTCAACCTCCTTTCACTTCACACGCAATCTGCAACTGTAATCAACATTATTGAAGTCAGTAGACATATAAGCAAACAGATGATATGCACACACACATGCAAACAAACTTCTATGTCGGTGCCTGAGTAACATTTAACTAATCCCCCAGCTCCTGAAGAAGCAAAACAATGAGAAAAAAAAAATAATAATAATAACTGGGCAGGTTTAACAGCTCTATTAAGGGATGGGTTTTGAAAAAGAACAAAAAAAAGGCACAAAAAAAACCCAAACAGAGAGACACCCTTTTGCAGTTACTGTGCAGGAAAAAGAACAGGGGAGCAGTGTTTATTCACTTACAGGGGGACAGATCTAGGGTTTGGCCAAACATGGAAGATATAATAGCCTTGAGATAAGAGGTGGGAGG